AAAGCACAAGGTAGACCGGAAGCTCTGTCACTAGACGCCCATTTAGACATCGTTACTAACGACAAGACATTTGAAGGGAAGAGACTGAAGAAATACTGTGGCGTGGTGGGCACCAAACCATTCCGAACTCCGGGACGTTATTATTATGAGGTTAATGTCTCCTATCGAATCCACGTAAATCTCGTTCGTAACGCCCTGATATTTGAGATTGGGATAGGGCGATGGGAAAGCATACATAACAGTTTCTATGTAGGTGCGCAAATGTACGCTTGGTCTTTTTCTGCTGAAAGGTGTAATGAACACAAGCAACTTTGTCACAAGTTTCGCCACAAGAGGACGCTCTTGTTGCACAGTCCGATTTCTGCCGATATTGCTGGAACTAACATGTCGATGTCTTACGGGTTTCTGCTAGATACAGACAATCGCCAGTGGACGGTTATTGATTGCTCTAGTCAAAAAGTCCTCTATACGTTCCGGAACTTGGACTTTACGGAACCTCTCTGGCCAGTGTTCGGAACATACAATCCATACTCTGCGCACGTGGAAATGCATCTGAAATCCGGAAGTTCAATCGCAAAAGTCCCTGCTATTGCAACTCTAGTGTAATGGATGCTCTTGATGGATAACATTAATGATTTTGAACATGAAAATTTCATACTAAGCGGTCTCCCTGTCAAGTCACAATCTGTAACCAAATGCTAAAAAAAAAACAACAGATGATGGTAATTTGTATTGTAAAAACATGATGAAGTCCTAATCATTTACACGCATTTTGCTTGGATCGATTGTTTAATACTTAATCCGCATATATTTTCCCTTTATTGTGTAGCCAGGTAGACAAAAAAGTATTGTGTTTGGAACATAAAGCTCTCCTCAATACATGTAGTTTCATAATAAGAACTTCAAAAATGTGTGTTTTTAATTTAGACCTTTATGACGATTTCATATGCCTATATTATCATAAATTAATATTATCATACTGAAAAACTATAGTTGGTATATGTCACCATTTGTCACTAGTATTTGTAAAAATGGTATAATGGTCTTCCAGTGAAGTCACCATTTGCATCTTACCAAAGACCTTTGGAAGTATATTGATTTTGACAATCTTTGTGGAAATAATTTCTAAATGACACGTGGAGTGAAGTGGTGAAGGTGCATGCTCTTAATAAAATGTTGAAAAAAATACTTATGAACTATTTTTGTTTAAAGATTGCCCTATTATAACTAAATGTTTTTATAATACCCAATATTGCTCTTTGAAGAAGGGATCCGACAAGGGGCAGTTAAACTTCAAATGCATTATAATATATCTTGACAAATAATAACCTGCTGTTCTTGAGATTTTTAAAAAGTTTTCCCTTTATGTTCTGATGTTAAACTTTGTATCTCCTATTGTGGCCCCATCCTCCTTTTAGGAACCATGATTTGAACAAATTTGAGACTGCAATACTTGTATATTCGAACGACAAATCTTGGCTCTGCTGTTCTTGAGATGGGTTTCGATTTATTACATTTTCAACATAAATGTACTGAAATTAATAACAGAATCAAAGTGGCATTTTTCATACTATGAAAAAAAAAAAAAAAAACTCGAAATTTTCTTTCCCTTCACAAAAAATGTTATAACAAGAGCCCCACTGGCTCACTTGAGCACATTGGCTAGGAAGAAGCAGAATTCAGTTCAGTATTGAACGGGGGGGGGGGGGGGGGGCTTTAATTTACACTACATCAGGATGCTTCCATATCAATATTACTAATCATGGCTTTGCAGTCCTTGAACAGAAGAATTTTAAAGATTTTTTTCCTATGTTTTTGCTAAGTAAAACTCTGATCTCTCATTATGAACCCACCCTACCCACCCTAAATGTGAACAAATTTGAATCTACACTACCTGAGGATGTTTCTATAATGATATGACTAATCATGGTTTGCTGTTCTTGAGCAGAAGATTTTTTCTAGATGATTCCTATATATTTCTATATGTAAAATTTGACTCTCTGTTGTGCCCCAAATCCCTGGAGGTCATAATTTGAACAAACTTGAATCTACAATACCTAAGATTGCTTCTGTGTAAATATGACTAATAATAGTTATGTTGTTCTTGAGAAGAAGATTTTAAAGATATTTCCTATGTAACGTGTATGATCAGGTTCTTACAAGGGATATATAAGTTTTCCTTTTACTCTGAGTTAATGATTGGAATGATTATTAAGACAGCTTTATCTGAGGGTATATCACACAGTACTTCAATTTTCTCTTATCTAGAGACGAGAACTGGGTGAGGTACTACTTGCACCATGTTTCTCCCCTAGGTTCCCATCATAGATAAGAACCTGGTGTCCCAATCTTCTTCAGAGTTACTACACCCAGAACTTAACATCAATTCCTTAGGACAATTGCCACTGGTGCTTATAACTTCTATACTTTTATTTTACCCTTACCCTTAACTTCTTTACAGCTGATTCAACATCCAACTACTTCAGCTAGCTTCTGAACATTTCCCAAAGGCTTTGCCTCATATACCCCTTGGTTTGGCTATAGCCTATTCCAAGACTTATCAGGTTATTCCACTATTTGAAGTCTTCAATGCGTTTAACTCAAATGCCCCTTAACCATACAACTATAAATTCCTATGTAAAACTTTGACCCATGTTTTGGCCCCTCCCTACCCCCGGGGGTCATGATTTGAACAAACTTGAATCTACACTACCTGAGGATATTTCTCTATTAATATGACTGATAATGGCTTAGCTGTTCTTGAGAAGAAGATTTTTAAAGTGTTTCCTATATATTCCTATTGAAAAATTTGATCCCCTGTTGTGGTTCTGTCCACCCCCAGGGTTCATGACTGGAACAGACTTGAATCTACACTACCTGAGAATACTTGTATTATAATATGACTATTCATGACTTTGCTGTTCTCGAGGAGAAGATTTTTAAAGACATTTCTTAAATAAGTACATGTAATACTTCGACCCCCTCTTGTGGCTCCGTCCTACCCCCGGGGTTATGATATAAACGAATTTGAATCTAGAGTATGTAATGAAGCTTTCACTTAAGTTTCATCTTTTCTTACCCAGTGGTTCTCGTTAAGAAGATTTTAAAAAGATGCCACCAAATTCTAAATTATCTCCCCTTTGGAGAGGGCGTGGCACTTCCCGTGAAGAAACTCTAATCCCCAACACCTAAGGATGCTTTGTGGCAAGTCTGGCTGAAATTGGTCCAGTGGTTCTTGAGAAAAAATCGAAAATATGAAAAGTTTACAGACGACATACAGACGCCGGACACTCTTTGATCAGAAAAGTTCACTTTAGCCTTCGGCTCAGGTGAGGCTAAAAACTACCCCCAATATATAGCCTGTTGTAAGATAGCAGAGTAAATAAATCAACAATGTTTTGTAACTGAAGAGGTAAAATGTGAGATAAAAAACACATCATCATTAATGCCTCAAAAATATATATTTGAGTTTATTAGTCGAAGTAAAATTTTTGGAACATTTTAGGCAACAAAAACCTTTATGCTACATGTACCAAATATCTCACCTTTTCACTGTGAATTACTTGAAAAAAAATTGTAACGTGAAATTATTACATGTCAACCCCCCAAAAAATGTAAATGATGCAATAAATTAACCCTCCTCCTTAGGGAAATATAGTAATATATGTACATGTTATACATTTGGACTTGATTTGAATTGATGTACGAGGGTTGATCCAACAGTAATGTCACAATTGCTATAAAATCTTTCATAATCAAGTGTTTTCAACAAAATTTGACATACTAATACCCCTATATATATTGATTTTTGCCTTAAGATTTCATTTAATTGCATAAATTTCTTTTTAAAATATGAAGATAAACACAACGTTCGTCTCTCGCCGCAACGGCAAGATGTTACCGACGTCGTTATGACGTTACTTTTTGGCACTCTTTTTCAGTTCATCTGCACATCTTTTTAACCTCTCACGTGCTTTTTAAGTAATCTTTCCTGCCATTTTGCTGTAGACCGTCTTGTTTTAAGTTGTAATATTAAATAATTTGAACTTTGTCCTAATTTTTTTTTTTCTAAAACCCTTCCTTTTTTTGTAAATCTTAAGTATCATCAGTCAAAATTAGTGTCCCAGAGAAACGCCTGATGACGTGGGTCATTCTTGTAGTGCGGTGCTAGACGAAACCTAAGGTTGTGTTTATTTTAATATTTTATAAAGTATTGCATATATCTAATTAAAATATTCGGACAAAAGTCGAAACAGATATAGATGTATCAGTATAATATATTGACGGTCCGGCCATTGGGGTGAGAGCAGTTGTTCATTTAATTTTAAGATCCGCCTCTTCAAACCGTACGAGACACTTAGAAGGTCTAGGGTATGTTAGCTGCAAATCCATAATCGACGTTTGAAAAGTTCAAAATTTTAACAAAGAAGGTTACACAGCAAAATGTGCCACGTACGTATCACATACGTTAAACGTATGTGATACATACGTGACTTCACGTACGTATCACATGAAAAAAGCACCACGTACTTTAAACATACGTTTTCACACGTATGAATATCATGCGTGACACGTACGTTAAACATACGTATTGACTACCATACATTACACACGTACGTTATTCATACGGTTCACGTATGAATAACGTACATTCAACGTGTGTGTAACGTATGTTTTTAGAAACATGCGTTTAACATGTTTGTTAAATGCACTGCTCATATGATAAATGTATAAGTACCATACATGTGCCAAACCATGGTTAAACATATGTTTTGACCACCGAACATTCTTTTTCACATATATATTGTAAACATGCATGAAACAAAAATGATGTGCAATTAAAATATTCATTTCATGCATTTGACATAATTTTCTTCAGGGACTTATTTTCTTTTCATCTGTTGAATGATCCACATTTTGAAGGTACATATCTGGATATATCCTTCACCTCAAATTTCCTGATCCTAATTGCTCTTTAGGCAATCACAACAAAAGACATATTCAAATTTAAGCCAATTTTAATGTTGAGATGTTAACATCAATTCATTCTTCTGCAATTCCCTTTCATCTGTAAAGAAAAAGAAAATATTAAATGAATTTGCATATGGAAAAACACATAGTTTTTTTTTCAGAACATTATTATTTTCTACATATAACTCCTGGTTGACTTCCTTTAGAACTAAACTAGAACTGTCCAATATGGACAAATAGCCCCCACTGGGTTTTTCAGAGAAGATGCCAAGTCACTAATACTAGTATTTTAGGATCTAAAAGGTGTTCAAAAATTGTTTATACATTTAGAGAGAAAATTTACCAGTAATTGCTCATTATATTTTTTTAATGAATGAAACTTTGGCATAGCCTAGTAAAACAGCAATACTAATAATAATATTGTTTTTTATTACATTGAAAAATTAATAACAATTTTTGAAGTATTTCTCTGTTGGAAAGTATGGATGCATTATTTATCCATTTTTTCTGCAGTATGTGACTATAGGTCAGGATCATGACACACCCTCAGGTCATAAACAATCTTTGTGTGAAGTGGATACTCCCAACATCCAAAATTATCCTCCATAGGAAAGATACAGACCGAACACGAATTATGAACTTTTTCTGTCAGTGACCTTGAACTTGCCCAAATGACCTTGGGTCAAGGTGATGACACACCCGCAGGCCATAAGAAATATTAAAATAACATATGGTTTTGTTGTTCTTGAGCAGAAATTTTTTAAAGATTTTTCCCTACATATGCCTTTGTAAAAACTTGATCCCCAATTGTGGCCTCTCCCTACCCCAGAGTTCATGATTTGAACAAAATTGAATCTACACTACCTGATGATGCTTTCATATAAACATGATTAATCATGGCTTTTCTGTTCTTTAGAAGAAGATTTTTTCCTATATATTCTATTTAAAACTTTGATCTCCCATTATGGTCCAATCCTATCCTCAGAGGATCATTATTTAAACAAACTTGAATCTACACAGCCTGAGGATGCTTCCATTTCAAAATGACTATTCATGGCTTTGCTATTCTTGAGAAGAAGAATTTTAAAGTTTTTTTCCTATGTATTCCTATGTAAAATATTGATCCCCCATTGTGGCCCCTCCCTACCCCTGGGGGGTCATGATTTGAACAAACTTGAATCTACACTACTTGATGATGCTTCCTTATCAATATGACTAAACAAGGCTTTGCTGTTCTTGAGAAGAAGATTTTTTAAGATTTTTTCTTATATATTCCTATGTAAAACTTTGATCCCCCATTGTGGCCCCAACCAAACCCAGGGCTCATGATTTAAACAAATTTGAATTTACACTTTGACATACAAGGTTTCCTATAAGTTTCAACTTTTTTGGCCCAGTGGTTCTTGAGAAGAAAATTTTTAAAACATCCCACTTAATTTTCACTATTTCTTAATTATCTCCCATATATTGAGGGTGTGGCCCTTTATTTGAACAAACTTGAATCCCCTTTACCCAAGGATGGTTTGTGGCAAGTTTGGTTGAAATAGGCCAGTGGTTCTGGAGAAGAAGTCGAAAATGTGAAAGTTTACAGACAGACGGACAGCTAGACAGACAGACAGACTACAGACAAAATGTGATCAGCAAAAGCTCACTTGAGCTTTCAGCTCAGGTGAGCTAAAAACAGATAGCAATAGGTCATGACTGACTAAGGTTATTGCAGCCCGGAGGACCGGGCTGCTCTATACATATAAGTTTAAGTGTTGGTATATTGGGATTGAGGTGGGAGAAGTTATTCAGAATTAAAGGTTTTCTAAACACTAAAAAGATTGTTAATCAGAATGTTCTTTCCCTTTATAAATTACGAGATACACAATATATTTACTTCCATAAAGTGAATCTGTAAAAATATATATGTTTTTCATATTTAATATATAAAGTTGCTTATCATTTACTATCGGAAAAACGACAGGTCCCTTTTTTTAGAACATCGAATTTTACATATCGCATAAAAACGTAAAAATGTACTTTACACAGTTCGTGTTTTATATTCTTAAAGTGAAAGATATTTTTGAAAATAGGTGATGCATGTGTCTGGTTTCAAATTATATTTTATGCAGCCAACATTTACTTGAGGAATTGATAAAGTTTAAAAGGGTATCGTTTTTGTTCGATTTTCATCCGACTATAAGTTTTCAAAATATTCTCGACTATCGTCTCCATCATTTAGACGCATGCCTTTTTCACACATATCGAAGCGGTTTGATGATAAAGACTCATTTCCATTGTTTACTTTATTTATTTCCCGGGCGACAATTGATGGTTACATCAATGTTTTCTTGTCTAATTAGTTATAACATTTTTTTGTGATTACATGTAAGTCAGCTCAGGTGCAAAACATTGCTTATCACTGATATAAATACAACAGTAAAATTTTAGACATAACCATATGTCTGACAATTAAATTCTATATAATAATAGAACATACCCTCAGCATAAATCTTTCATAGCTTGGCATGGACCTATATGTTTTTGTGTCTGTTCGAAGTGTATACTTTTTGTCCTTGGGGTAAAAAAGAAAATATATGTTAAAAAAAATTGCATTTCAGACTTGTAAAGCAAAACAAACAATATGAAAAATTACTTATTTTACTGATAACATTTAACATTTTCTCCTCTTGTGATTGAAATGTAATGCACATCATTACATGATATTATATGTATTAAATTGCAAGTCTAAAAGCAATGGGATCAGAAAATTTGATTTCTTTTTTAAGAGTTTTACCATAATGCTGGTTAAACTTTCAGAATCTGTTTTTGAAGTCCAGACTTGGCATTTAGGTGTTTACATAGGAGATGAGCTTCAGCCACCATCCTGGAGTGTACATTTAAAATCACATAAAGAAATCACAATCTCAAAATACATTATTTATATTCATAAGGACTGTATGAAAAAGACATCTGAAAAATAAGTGTTACACCCTTATTGCCCTAAAAGATAATTTATATTTCCTCTACATGTTTTGTAAAGAAATACATTGGGTGGGTGGAACTTTTTCCATCAAGGGCTTTATTGCATCTTATTGGTAGGCTAAAAAAAATCTTACAATAAATATTTTTTATAACAGTATGTTTTATACCTCACCTTAATTTTGATATAATGTGCCAGTGTTGATTCACGCCTGGGCTGGGGTGCTGACCAAGACAGTTGACTAGGGGTGAAACGGTACACCTCCTTCACGGTTCGATACGTATTGCATAATTTTGTCTCGGTTCGGTTATTTTCGATACGATACATTTTGATAGAAGGAAACAAATTCAACGTTGTTTTATGCTTTCTTTTTCTAAATCTAGTCACCTATTTTACGAATTTTATTTGCAAATTGACTAGAAGGAATTGATTAAAATTATTTGACTGTCAAAAATTATCTTACAAGCTATCAGTCATCAAAAATTTACGTTTTCTATACTTATTTATACTGAGTAACGTGTTATACCTTATGCCAAACCCGACTGAATAACGATCCCGACCGAAAAATGAACCGAACCGAAAATTAGAGATTTTGCACCGTGTATCAAACCGAGAAAAAATACCGCGGTGCATCGATACCGCGGTGAACCGTTTCACTCCTACAGTTGACTGCGTCAATAATTTCGTACATTATGTTATACACTAAAATAAAAGAAACACACCCGTTAGTTTACAAGCAACACAGTCTGAAATATAAAGTAAATAAATAACTGTTGATGTTATGTATATTCCTCACCGTTACTCCTAGCCTAACTCCAGACACTGTCTTGCAGACGTCAGACTTCTTACCAGTGACGTCACCCGTTAACGTAAATAATAATCGGAGGTGAACATTCCGGAACGTACATTTTACATATTTAGTGTTATACGGACGCTACCAACTGTATAATTATGTAATACCTATTTAGGTGAATTCCATTTGAGTTCTGTTGTGAAATTATCGTGATTTTCTTTCTTTTTTTTTTCAAATTCAGCTTTTGCTCCTGAATTCGGAATGATTATATCTACCGATGATCGAGTTCAATTTTATGTGCCTCTACCGATATCCGATATACATATTACGAGATTGGTGTACTTGTATGTAGACTATGTTTTACTGCTCTAAGAGTAAATTATACACCAATGCGAACTGATTACTCCATGTCAGACATGCAAGTGGACGTAAGGTAAACAATGTGAAATAAATTGGAACATTAAAGACGCAAAACACGCACAAGTCAACAACGCACACACCTGTGAGCTTTCAGAGGTGATTGGGTTTTAATCATCATCATAGATCATGATATGATATTATTTTTTTGAAAAAAAAAAGTTAAATCTTTAAAATATATTACAGTATTATGATTAAAATCCACGCAACTTATGATCTAGGGTTCCATTTTAAGAGGGATTTTATACTTGGACCAAGTTGGTCGCAATACTCTGTTTCATGAATTACAGGTTATTGATCAGGTCCGGCACAATCTCCTGATTAAGCTATATAGCTTGATTTAGCTATATAGCTTTATTAAGCTATTCAGAATAGCTTGATTTAGCTATTTTATCACACTTTTTTCTCAAATGTGTTATTTTCCAAGTATGTACAAAAAGTCGCACCTTGGTGCAGTGATGATATTCAACCTTGAACTCTTATGAAAATAATGCATGTAAAAATCACTCATCAAATTGCGTCTCCATAAGAGACTTTGTACTCAAAGTTCTAAAAGTTTTGGGGGCTATATAAAGCAATTGATACAGTTACCTCTTCAATGAAATTTTAAAGGAGGCCAATTATGGTCAACAAGATAATTGATTGGTAATAATTCAGTACAATGAGAAGCAATCATACTTATCATGCCTCAACTCATACAAGGTAGTGTACAGTTACCCAAACAATGGAAATTCATCTTTTGCTTAAAAGTATTCAAATGCTGCAATGTTAGAACTATCTTTGATTTGGGTTGTTGATTTGATAACCCATATTACATATGAATAGTCAAATACTTGCGACTTTTTGTCTATTTTGTACAAATAACATTTTTGTGAAAACCTGCATATAAATAGCTTTATCAAGCTATTTTGAATAGCTTAATAAAGCTATATAGCTATTTCAAGCTATAAAGCTTAATCAAGAGATTGTGTCAGACCTGTTGATTGTTAAACATTATCTTGATTAGTTCTCCAAATTCACTCTGAACTATTAAGTAAAAAAAAAGTATTTGGTCTGAGGTGTACTTTTGTACAAAAAGTTCCTGTTACAGTATTTGAAAATGTCACCAGTTTAAGAATATTATATAGTCCCAGCAACAATAAAACTTTTAGGGATTTTTTTCACTTGTTGACAAAAATTAAATAATAATTTTACTAATTAATTAAACGAATTAAAAAGGATTGAATTTAATTATAGTTGACCTACATTTATTGTATACATGTATGTAAAAGTACCATTAATATAGAAAATATACAGCCTTCTCAAACACAGCCGGCTTTTCACACACATGTAGAACAATTTTTATTAACCTACATGTAACATAGCTGATAACACTCATACTTGTCATTAATGTACATGTAATGTGTGGTGTTTAATACATGTAAACCATGCATATATTAACGTATTTATAACGTGTGGTTGATAATAAATGTAAACCCTGTGTGTGAAATATGTGGTTTATAATACACATGTAAACTGTGCGTTTATTAACGTAATCACTATGTGTAACGTATGGTTGACAATACATATGTAAACCACATGTTCATTAACGTATGTGTAACGTGTGGTTGACAATACACATGTAAACCATGCGTTTATAAACATATGTGTAACGCGTGGTAGCACATACCATATGTAACACGTACGTGAAACGTACGTGACACATACATGTATTCCAACCGCACGTTTCACGTACGTTATGTGAAACGTATGTTGTCACACGCAATCCATACGTTATACCACGTACATGTAACATGTGTGGTTGACAATACACATGTAAACCATGCGTTTATAAACGTATGTGTAACGCGTGGTAGCACATACCATATGTAACACGTACGTGAAACGTACATAACACATACGTGTATTCCAACCGCACGTTTCACGTACGTTATGTGAAACGTATGTTGTCACACGCATGTTATCCATACGTTATACCACGTACGTGTAACATGCGGTTGGAATACACGTATGTGTTACGTATGTTTCACATACGTGTAACATATGGTACATGTATGTGCTACCATACGTTACACGTACGTGGCACAATTAGCTGTGTAATCTACTATCTGTATGCAGTAACTATTAAATCAAGTGTGAGCTAGTTTATTTTTTTTGTGTGTGAATTTTTTAGTTGTTGTTACCGCGAGAACGAATTTAGCAGCGAAACACATTAGCGTTGCATTGTGGGTCCAAAGGTTACTGCGGAAAAAAATCATTTGGATGAATGTTCAACAGGTTGGAGAGAATACTCGAAATCAAATATTATCCGTGAAATCGCGTATAGTCCCCGAAATCGGGGTATCGTTGTATCCGCGAAATCGGGTATAGGCGGTGTAATCACCCTATAAAACTTAAACAATGGGATGGCGCATTTTGCCGAGTCAACTTTCACCTAGAGACAAATGTTATCTAAAGGTATCACTAGCCAAATAACAATTTGGAAGTCCGAATTAATGCGCATTGGACAACGAATACCCGTGGAGCTTAGTACTTTCATGATCTTCACTCAAACAAACGTTCGTTCTGCTTTTAAATTTTATATAATGTTAAATGTATTTGCATCTTCTTCATGTCATACCCAATTATGCGTCATTAATTGCTTTAACATTCATCTTGTGCATAAAAATAATTCATTACAAAATGTATAAACTATTTAATGGTTAAAATGTTTCAAATTACGGCAAAAACTAATATAACGCGTATTTTTTCGGAGGGTGTGTGTGTGTGTGTGTTATGAATCTATTTTCATCAGTTGATTTTTTTGTCGTTGAATAGCATTCCTTACATATATCTTGTACCAATATATATATGTTTAATAAACAGAGAATGACAATTAAAGCTAATTATAAAAGGCGACATATTCTTTCTTATTTTTTTTTTAAATTATTAAAATTTCCTTTGGATTCAACATGCCTCCAACGTTTTAGCAAAGACAATGATGTTCTCAGCAACATAGCTTGTGAGAGAAAATAACTGTTGATCATTTAATTTCGCTGAGTCGGCAATATTTTGCCATTTTTCGGCGACTTCAGGGGACGAAAGTGAATAGCTGCTTACATTAATTATTCCTTGTCCGGACTATCTCGGTCAAGCGAAAATTAACCTCGAATGTGTTATGCATGTGTCCAAGAGAAACATCCCTCCCCTTTCAAAATAATCAAATTAAATGTAAAATGTTATTGTAGAGTTTTGTGCTAAACGTCATTGAATGGTATATATTCATTGCATGATAAAGAGAGAAGATCTATTCATCTAATAAAAATCATTTTGCCCTCTTGAGTGAATAGAATTCTTCATATCTCCAAAACATTCATGCAATAATTGTTTATATACCGAAACAATATGAGGTTAAAATAGAAACCTGTTACTTTTTACCACATTCGACAAGTTTAAAAAAAAACTAAACTTCATGTTTATTTTCTAACACATTTTTCACCATAGATGAATAATAACAAAAAGTGATAACCATGAGTAATAAGTATCACAGATTACAGAAAAGACAGGGAATTATGAAGTTTTAGTTCCCTGTCACGTGACGTACTGTCTAGAATCAATCAGATAACGTATTTTAGCATATTATACTGAGGTTTAAAGCGATATAACCTAAAATAAACTACAGACTCTGAAGAGAAAATCTACCCTGTCTATCCAATACTATAATAATAATAAAAGAAAGTGTCTCCAATCTGTATGGATGATTAATTAAAAACAATGCAGCTCAAGACTTAAGCTAAGACGCGATTGAACACTCCACTTCAGTTTGTTCATATGTATATAAAGTAAAAACAGTATAATATGTGAAAACTTTAAAATATAATTCATATTTGAATATTAGCTCTATATTGAGAATGTATATTAAGCACATGAGAAGATGTGCGAATTGGATTTTTTTTTATTTATTTATATGAACCAAGCCCCCCCCCCCCCCCCCGAGCTAAACGAAAATCCTTTTAACAAGACATCTCGTTCTCAATTTCCACACAAACACACACAGGTAAAATAACGTCGCTTGCATCAATCAAAATGCAACCAAAACATTGGCGGGTTCTTTGAATGAAAATTTTCATGGTAAACTGACATTTAAATATTTTCTTTAAAAAATACGCACCTCCCCCTTTCCCCGCGGGA